AAGGCCCATTCATGCGTCAAACGGCCACCTGATTATATTAAAGACAGAAATATAAAAACTGCAAGATATAAAAGCTCTTGTCTGCGTCCACTGCTGAGCTCCTAATATTTGACTCGGAGCTGTATGGGAGTGGACGGAGGGGACGGCTGGCGCGAGCGCAACACTCGGGTGTACGGTGTGCCCGCCTCAGGCCTCTGGCGCGAGGGGAAGAACGAGCGGAAGAAGGGGCGCTTCTCAGGAGGCTGGTTCTCCACGTAAGCCACGCCGCAGCCCCTCTTCTTGCAGGAGCCGGACGCTGGCGGAGGAGGCTGGCTGTGCTGTAGCTGTGCCAGCAGCTCGTCTTTCTTGCGCAGGTCTGCTCTGACCAGCTGCAGGCTAGTGTGCAGCTCCACCAGCATCTGGTCCTGCAGACGGGAGGGAGAGGGCAGCCAACAGGGTTAGAGAGGCCACAGGGAACAGTTACATGGTTCATTTAGTTCTTCTGAAATCACACAGATCAGATTAGAAAATCAGGCCAGGAACAATCAGAAACAAACGGCATGTTAGTAAAATAAGAGCAAGTAGTTTAGAGCAGTGTTTCTCAACCGGGGTGCTGTCTGTCAAGAGCAGGCGTGCCGTGTAAAAAATTGTTAAATTGCTAAAATGTTCATAAAAGCAGCTATTATATAATATCCATTTCTGATGTCACCAATAATTAGAGATGCACTGAAATTCCAGCTGCTGAAAAGGAGTTCACCGCTCAGGATTCACCTTCACGTGGTGTGACGCTCCATATGCGTGGGCTCTCCACTCAGTCGCTCACGGCTCAAGCTTCACTCGTATACCGTTCATGCTCATCAGAACAGCAATGTCCACTCAGAAATCCAGCTGACAGGACACATGGATGTAGTATAGTATGGTTTCGGTCTGCAATAGCTCTACTGTGCTGTAACAAGGTGTGGTATATGAGCAACTCTGGTAACACTGCCCTCTCATTCATTGATCTGCTAACCATTATGCTCACGTGTCCTCTGATAATAATCGCTTTCTAGGATTAAACATTTGGATAATTGGTAAAAAGAATAAATAAACTCTTAATAGCCCTACTGTGTTAGACCTACCTGAAAAACTAAAAAGCTATTTATTTCATTTGTAGGCCTACCGTGATTTTTTATTTGTGCTATCATTAGTAATTTCTTTATTTGTTCTTATTTTATTATTAACCGCTTAGTCTCCTTGTCATTTTTTATTCAATTCAAAGTTTTAAATCAAGCTCTCTCGTGCTACTGCACTCAAAAATACACCGAGTGAGCAAAACTGTTTAATTACCATTATAACTCAATGTTTACATATGAATAAAAGCCTACATTAAAATGTCATATACATTGGTCTCTTCATTAGAAATTAGCCTACTGATTGCCACCACTGATGGACTTTAATAATATCTGCATGACGTTATATTCTGCAGTTCTTCCCTGCTGTACCGAATCTTTAATTTTTTTAAGCATCATATCGAAGTTAGAAATTCAAATATTGAGACCATTAATTTTGTAGGGTGCCACAAATGTGTTAATTTCCAAAGGGTGCCGCGACTAAAGAAAGGTTGGGAAACACTGGTTTAGAGGAAGGCATGCATGTCATTTGGATTTTGTTAGTAGATGTGTTCAATCTAAATGTGTGAAAGGAGTTAAAGAGAACACGGGAAGAGAAACAGAGGAAGAGACGTTGGTGCGGAACAAACTAACTGTGCATCCAGCTAGACATTGTTGAATATCAGTAATAGCCCAAATAAATGTTACTTTCCTTTTTATTACATGAATGCACAGCTAGCCGTGGATTATCCTGCTTATACCAGAGTCATTTGCCAGCATTGATGTTTGCAACACAATATTACGCAGGAAGAGCAAAGATGGTTATTTTCGTCAGTTAGAGCTGCATTCGGTCGGTCAATCGCAGCTAAGACAGACTGCAATGTTTACGTTCTGATGTCGTCTGAAGTGAGGAGCTCTCGTGTTTTACCTGTTTGGCGAGTTTGCCGTCGGCGGAGGAGAGGGCGTTTCGGAGCCTCTCTCCGTCGGTGTTGCGGCAGCACGCTCGTTCTCCAGACTGCAGCTCCACACCCAGCATCTGGAGCTCCAGCCGCAGCTGCTTCAGGTTCTGCAACAGACACGTCCCACATGAGATCCTGCAGTTCTCCCTTCAGTGTGCGCGCTGAGATTAAACCAACACCATCTGCAGTACTTTTAATCATCATCATCGCCCGTTATTGCCCTGGACACTGTAATAATCAACGCTGATTAATAGAATACATGAAAAAGTTAGGTTTTTTTTGTATAGGGCAAATGCACATCTTGTAAACTACAACAAAACTAATACACTAATAAAGTAATTGCTTCAAATTTGACATTACAAAATAAAGCAATACCCCCCGTGAAGCCGTGGTTCATAGTAAGTTTATAACAGTTAAGGGGCGTTGCTAGGCACATTTTTAAACCCCCTTAGCGGTTATAAATTCACTGTAAACCACGGCTTCACGGGGTTTTTTGCTTTTATAAAACGGTTATTGCATATACGTAGTAAGGTTTCAC